CTCAACCATTGTTTAAAAATGTTGTTTGATTAAATGACGTAAAAAAAATATGGATTGAACCTCTAATAAGTGATTAAAATCTCTATGGATTGAAGTTCGAATATTATTTCAACACCATTAATTATGAATTCAATTTGTGATTTTCCATCAATAAAAACTACCATGTGCGATTTTAAATCAATAGTTATCCGCAGATTCTTGTTTGTTAGGTTAGAATTGCAGCAAGATCATATTTAACCTTTTATCATTAAGATCAACATCTATTATTATATAACACAAATTAATATAAATATTATAATCAAACAAATATTTATGAATATAATCCATTATGATAAATTATTGAAAAATCACGCAATATAATCCATTAAATGTACTTGCTTCAGTTATTAATAATTCCGTAAATATTTATTTATATAATCTTATATTTGAAATATTTGTTAAAATTTGTATTAATTTATATCTTATATCATGTCATTCTACCAATTTTAAACTAATATACAGTAGAAGTAAAAAATAAAATGTTCAAATTTTCACATTCTTGCGACATTGAATAATAAAAATAAATATATTCAACGACATTGTATAACGATTACAAATATAATAACACTAAAATTTATTATAGAATACAGATTTCAGCGACATGGAATGAAAATAAAATTCATAATAAACGGAATTCTTATCAAACCTAAATATCATAAATATCTCCTGCTCTTTGCTAATGTTGAGGTAAAATATCACCATATTGAGGGAAAATCCCACCATATTTGATAACATGAGTTCTTCCATAAAGCACAAGTTTCTATTTGTTAGTTATGATATCTTTCTTCCAATGATTAAATTCAACGACATAGTTGTTGATTGCATACACCTCGCCTTAGTTGAGTACACCTCGAAATGCTCCCATATTTTTAGAACATATTATGCCTTTAATGAATGCACCCTGCAATATAAATTAAATTTTAATTAAAATATTTTTTAAAATTATATAAATTTGATATTACAAATGAAAATATTTACCTGTTTATCATGAAACAGTATATGGAATGCATTCCAACTCTCCCGTTCGTGATGCGTTTCAATTATTCGGGCTGCTCTCAAGCGCAAAAAAGGTTTGTTTGTCCTACTCGCGGAATCGAGTGTATCCCAGACTGACGACATTATATTATCGATGTGTAAGCGCCATTTTAATATTCTTACTCAGAAATTAGATTTGACTACTATATTATGATTTCATAATTTATATTTTTATTATAATTTTATTATATATTTAAAAATCCATGTAAATAAGTTTATAAAGCTTATATTGTTTCATTAACTAAAATAAATTTAATTTTTTATAAGCTATAAAAAAAAGTACTTGAGTAATTTATTTAACTATAAATAGTTGACTAATTCATTTTCTTCCAACTTAATATTGACTCATAAGTTATGAATAAATTACTTATTTGACTTTTAAATTTGGAACCGAAATTTGGACTATACAGTAAATTCTCTTATATATTTCGCACACACACACACATATAAATTCCCTTATATGTTTCACACACACATGTGTGCGTGTGTATTATCTTACAATTTTCTAGATTTGTTGTTGGTTACTTTATCGTTCAAAATTATCAAACAATTCTATATAATTAAATTACAAATTTAGATTTTATTAACCAATATTTATTTAAGGATCTTTTAGATTTTCAAAAGGAATACATACTAATTTTTTGAATTATTAACAATATCTTATGGCAATTATTATGGAAATATGTTATAATTTGAGAATTACATCACCTCGATTTTATGACAAATCAACCTAAAATTCAACTTTAATACTCATACGAGATAGAATTCATACCACTTATTTTGTTTTCAAATTTCCAAATACATTTATATTCATACCAAATAAAATTCATACCATGCATTTAAATTCAGTCATTTCATATCACAATAAAATCGCCCCACTTTATACCATAAATTGGACATTTATTAATAACATATTTCCTACAAAAAAAAAGGCCATCGGATACCTCAAATAAAACTACTCACTTTATACCAAAATCGGATTTATCAATTTCGTCAATTTTACACCATAAAGTGGTTAATAAATATATAGAGGCGGGATTTTGAAAAAATTTCATCAAAGTTACTAAGTTTAGTAATTTTAAAATTTTTAGGCGGTATTTTAATTTTTATTTTAAGTAAATACTAACACACTCACACACACACACACACACACACACACACACACATATATATATATATAATTATATATATATATTATCGGTTAATATAAGATTTCTAGTTAGAGTATTGAACTTTATGATAAAGATATCACCTAAAAATATTGTGTTTAAATCAATTAACAATTTACGTTAATGTACAAAAATTGATGAAAAAAAAATAAAAATACATTATGGAGTCGTAATTTTGCAAAAAAATCAACAATACATTATGCAGTCATAATTTTTTGAATTTTATTCACTGTAATTAATTATCTATGCTACCAATAACAATAAATTAATTTCTATATAAATTAAACAATTAACATGCACATCCTATAAAAAAATATTTTGCATATAAAATAAACAATGGTACAAACATGGAAATAAATAAATAATTAAAACTATTATAGATAGTAAATAACATTAAACAAATAATCCAAACCATATTGAATTGTCTTTCCCAAACAGTCAAGATCTTCCATACGCGTGAAAAAAAAAAATATCGTCCAATCATCTCCTCTCGTCCGAGGAAACCCCAGCCGACGCATCTTATCCACAAAAATTAACCGCAAAAATATCGCACACCTTGTTAAGCAAAAATTTTATGTGGCGAAAAAAATAATTAAATAAATAAATAGAATCAACCGGGCAGCACAGTTCATCTTCCTTGTTTAGTAGCCTTCACTTTCGGCCAACCTTGGTCCGACTTTCAGCCCGATATCGTCAGCCCATGCAGCGCCCACATTCAGCGTCGTCCGACCGTTCCTCTGACAAGTCGAGTGTATGCTCGTAACCCCTCTAGTCGAAGCCTGGCTTCGCACAGTCATGTGTAGCCGCTCCAGACGGAGTCCTGGACGTCCGTTTAGCCAGTCGGTCACCTCGCGATAGCTGCCGCTGGCGAATAGAAGCAATTCCCGCCGTCAAGCCCACAACCCGCCCTCTCCAACACCAAACACTAATTAGAATATGCATCCATTGCTCTGAGTCGTGCATTTTCACTCTCATCGCTTCCAGTCGAATGGTGAGTGATTGAAGGTACGTCTGACAGAGAACTGGTAAATTTCCTTTTCCTAAACTGCAAAAAGATTCAAAATAAATAATTAAAATGAAGCACTAAATCCTAAATCAGAGAACAACCAATGAGAAATTTAATGAAAAACCAATACCAAACCCTTAAATAAAAAGTTCAATAAAAATAGAAATTAAATGAAGAGTGACTGTCCATTTTGATATGAGTTTTTGAATCGTGTTGTTTGGCATGCATGTTTCAAGGAAGAAAGGAAAAGAGAACAGCTTGAGTTTAGATTTCAAGGAAGAAAAGAAAAGAGAACAACTTGAGTTTAGATAATGAAGATTGCAATAATAAAACAATCACATAGATGTTAAGATATATTAGAATGTATCAAGAAAAATCTTTGTGTGATTGTTTCCTTTAAATGTTTTAATTTATTTTTTTTTTAAAAAAAAATTAGAAAACATTTAGGCGGGATATTTTGAATTTTTTTTTTTTAAATTACTTATTTTAGTACTTCTAAAATTTTAGGCGGGAATTTAATTGATATTTTAGGTAAATGCCAAATCTTTTTATATTTATATAGATTCAAGCACGTGAGATGGTATATTCCATTAATTCAAACCGTGAGTTATCTCTTTTAAGCGAGTTATCCACACATTCCTATAATCTCTCTACACCATAAATTTTTGAATTCAAAAGATCATATAATTCATGTCTTTTTATCTCTCTACACCATAAATTTTTGAATTCAAAATGTGATATTAAATTTATGTATTTCTAATTGTTTCAAGCTTTCTATAGTTAGAATGTCAAAGGTATTATTTTTTTCGTCAAAACATTCTAAAAAGGATTTAATCAACAACTTTATATATATATATATATATATATATATATATATATATATATATATGATTTGGTTCAAATGAGAACCAAGTCCTAGCGTGAGAACCGTGAGAACCGCTATTTTTAATTGTATGTAGTGCTATAATGATTGTGTTTTAGTGTTATTTTTAACTAGGGTGTATTTTATTAAAAATAGCAATAAAATTTTTATTAACATTTGTTGAAATAATAACACAATGCAATATTAAAAATAACATCATACAAAATAAAAAATAGCATCAAATATGGTTCTCACGGTTCTCACACCAGACATAGTTTTTATTTGAACCAACCCCTATATATATAGATATATATATATATTGATTTTCAATCACTCACCATACATTTATATAGTTATCGTTTTATCATTAAATAAGGTCGTTTAAATGTAAATAAAAAACTTTCAAAAAGTATTTAGAATTGAAATCAAAGAATTTACTTCTATCATTTTAAAGTTCAAAGTATAAATTTTTTATCTAGCTCCAATATAATACACGGATGTTATACGAGCAAGATCGTTGGCAAGCTCCATCGTATCGAATTATTTGGACAAGGCCATATCCAATGGGCTGAGACTCTATTTGGGCTACCAATAGAAGTCACTTATATTAGAAAAAAAAATTAAAAATTTGGGCCGAACAACCTCCTCCTTTCACCAATAAAAAGCCTAGCCGACCAAAAGCCCTGTTTTAAAATCAAACCAGCCTTCGCAAGCCGCTAGGGTTTTCCCGTCTCCGCGTTGTTCATCAGGTGCCTCCCTCGTTCTTGGATTAGCTGATTCTCTCTGCTTGTCTGTAAGATATCTGTGGATCTATCATTCTTACGTCTGATTGATTTTTGTTTTTCGTAAATTTTCATTCTTAGGAGTGGTGAACTATTGATTACTCAAAATGTCTCGAGTTTATGTTGGGAATCTTGATCCACGAGTAAGCGAACGTGATCTTGAGGATGAATTTCGTGTGTTCGGAGTTATCAGAAGGTAAATTATTTGATTTATCGGTTGTTTTTATTGGACAGATTTATGAGTTGTTAGTTTTCTCCTAAATTATCATTTTCGTGAAGAAAAAGTATCAGGTGAGGGGTAAATGTCTGACAATTAAAGGTTTTTCGATCCAGATCCCGATTTAATTAAAATAAAAATGTATAAAATTTTCAATTTTCATTGTAGTTGCTATTGGTTTAAAGGATGGTTGTTCTGCAAATTATCATTGTCTGTTACACTTGGATAAATGTGTTGTATTTATTTATTTATTTTTTACCTGAATTGATGTGCAGTGTGTGGGTTGCAAGGAGGCCCCCTGGTTATGCTTTCATAGATTTTGATGACCGTCGGGATGCCCAGGATGCTATCCGAGAAATTGATGGTGAGCTATGGGTCTTATTCACTTGTGTGTGTTAGAGCCTGAACAATTCACTAGTACTAGCAATTTTTTTATTTTCATTTGTAGGATTTAGATTATTGTTTTCCTTCTTGTGTTGCATTTTTTTCATAGAAATATGAGTACTTCTGTCAATTCGGCTTAAATCTATTATAATTCTTACTTTCTTGAGCTTTGCCAACAGTAAGTACATAACACAAAATTACCATCATTCATCAATTTGTGGTTGTCTTCTTAATTACAGTGTTGCTGGAACCTTTTTTTTTTCCTGTTGTCCAAACAGGTAAAAATGGCTGGAGAGTCGAGCTTTCTCACAACTCCAGAGGTGGTGGCAGCGGCGGAGGTGGCCGTGGTGGGGGTCGTGGCCGTGGTGGATCTGATTCAAAATGCTATGAATGTGGGGAGCCTGGCCATTTTGCTCGTGAGTGCCGTAATCGTGGTGGTTTAGGGAGGCGTAGGAGCCGTAGTCCCCCTAGATATCGCCGGAGCCCAAGTTATGGCAGAAGGTAACGTTACTCGTGGGGCAAATAAAAAAGATTGAAAGGTGAAAGCCTAGAGTAATGTACATTCTGATTGCCACTCCTAAGAGGGAAAAGGAAGTTTGGGAATTAACTGTTGCGTGTATTTTATTGAGAACTTAGATTTTATGATCAATTAAT